TAACCATATGGTTAAAGCCGCACAATGCGCATCCAAATGCTAATTTCTCCAGTACTAGACTAGCAAATACTTCGTGTCATGCATAATCACACTACCTTATGACAAAATAAACTAGTTGCTCGATCCAATTTCACTGCGCGTTTCCTTAAAACCCACAAGAAAGAGGTGAGAAAACTGGCATTCTGGCGCAAACGCTGACTGTTTGCCAAACAAAATAGCCTCGAAGTGGTGACGTGACGTCACATGTTTTTATCTTTGCAGCGCCCGTACCGCGGCACCGCTGCACGGTTGCTTGGGGATTGGGGAAACTATAAACAACATTGGAGGTATTTTCAAAATACCTTTTATAAGACAACGCGCACTGAAATGGGAGGAACTAGAGTTTATTTTGCCATAAGGTAGTGTGATTATGCATGACACGAAGTATTTGCTAGTCTAGTACTGGAGAAATTAGCGTTTGGATGCGCATTGTGAGCCTTTAAACATCTGAGTGATATGAGCAATGGTAACAATTTAAGGTGACTATGACAACTTACCGATATGGCAGCTGATATAGTTTGGTATCAATTTAAGATAACTGCGGTTTTGTTAATGTGCTGGCCGCTGCCAAGCGTTGCCACTCACCATACTTGCTGTGGTATATAATGAGCAGGTATACTTCATAACTAACATAGGCTAGTACAGTAGTGCACACCTGTGCACGAACCAAGATAGCTCAATGTGGTTGCTGTATACGGTTACTAGTAACAATTTACTGTTACTGAAATCACAGTTACTATTTTCTACAAGCTCCCGCACTGTCAACATTTGTGAGGTCTGTAAACTTTATTATAATAGCACGTAGGTTTGTCGTGGAGGTATTCGTTCCTGCGTGTCTTAGTCCACAGCAACTTCGCTGGTTACTGTGAGTGCGGCGAGTGAGAAATGGGTGCCTCGCAACTGACTGATTAATGTGATCGTTCTTATACAGGGCGACTACAAGTACGATGACGATGAGGACAGTGGCGCAGAGGTCGATCCAGCAGAGCAGCCGGCGCCACCTGGCATCGAAGCGGGCACATCTGCACCTGCAGCTGAGAAAGGTATGTGTAGATTTGCAAGCATGTAATAAAACCGATTGAGGACGTTTTTGTAACTAAAACCGACTGCTACAGGTTTTATACTATTTGTCATGTGTGGTTTCAAAAGTTTAGCAAATTATAAGCTATTTATTTGTGTTTTTTTTATTATATTTAAGGACTAGCTTTTTCAGTGTAGATATAATATATTATAACACAGAAGTTGTATTTTCCTATTGTAATTTTTCAAGAAGAGGGAGAAGGAGACGATGATAGTCAAGATGCAAGTTCTGAAAAGGCCAAAAAGGAGGAGAAAAACAAGGAAATGAAAGAAAGTGGTGAGCAGGATATTTCTCATTCTAATCAATATTGATATGTGCTACAAGTCATTAATTATTAATTTCTTGTGCCTACCAACCACCTAATATTTTCTTGCGTGGTTTTGAAACTTGCTATCACTCATCTATATTGCTTTGTATTGCAGAGGAAGGACAGGAGAATGGAGATGCAGAGGAGGGAGAGGAAAAGGAAGAGACCGTCGCGCCAGTGGTACCACTTAAATCGACAAAGCCACGCCCTCTCCACAAAACACTTTCTATCTTCCTTCGAAATTTGGCACCATCCATAACAAAACAAGAGGTTGAAGCAGTGAGTGTGACTTGTTCGATATTTTTCCAATTATTTTGTAGGTGGGTGATCGTGCAGTTCCATTGCCTTTGTCTTCGACATATGCTCATTGAGTTTTCATGCAATCGTAGTAAGAAATGCTTGCATATATTTTACTGTCATTGCAATTTTTGTGCACGTATCCTGAATCCGTGGTCGGCATTCCCTTAGTTTATTTGCTAAATAGGGCACCAACCAGTGCAGTATCTTCAAGTTTAATATGTGTGTGTAAAGATTTTAATAAAAATTCATGTCTGTGACGCCGCTTCAGATGTGCAAGCGATTTCCAGGATACATTCGGGTGGCCCTGTCGGAGCCGCAGCCAGAACGTAAGTTCTTCCGCCGCGGCTGGGTGACATTTTCGCGCGATGTCAACATAAAGGAGATCTGCTGGAATCTGAACAACATACGGGTGAGTCCAGCTGTCTCATTAGCAAGAATAATGCGCTACCTTCTCTTGCTCTGTCTATCTGGATTATGTCACTACAGCACCATTGTATACGAGGGTAGAATTACACAACCAAACAGTGTGCACAGACAAGTGCCTTGCCGGCATGCGTAATTACTGTTGGCAAGTCAGACAAATTAGTTGAAATAATTGATCTGTCTGAGCAAGATGACTACACCTCCTTGGGTGTTGTTGTTAGGTTGGTCAAGCTATACCTGTACATATGCGTTTTTCACGCATACACGCCAATTGTGTTGTACACGTCACTTTGTGTCGAGTCCTTGCCAGTTTTTATATAGCATGGCCCTTTGAAATACTGATTGGCTCTGAGCTACCTGGCAATCACTCCAGGCTGATAAGATGGTCATACCTGAGTAGATGCAGTGATGAGTAGATCTATGGGGCTTGCATCTTGTTCCTGGTAAAACATCGTTCTCTGTGTTGAATTGTAGTTACGCGACTGTAAGATGGGTTTTGCATCTTTTTCCCGGTAAAAACTCCAGCGCCAACCACCGGGCACTCCCGGCCCCGCCCCCCAGCACTCTAATTCGCGAATGTCACGCTCAGGGCCATACCCCCCCTTTTATAAGTCTCACCTTCATTTTTCATACTCGCTTTCCTTTAGCCTTTTTCCATCATGTCCAATGCTCTCACTTGCCCTTCATTTGCTTCCAACACATAACAAATATCCAAAGTACACTTTCTTTTCATTGGTCTCATCTCTAATGTTTTTGCCCTTTCGATCGCGTCCGGCCTCGCCATATATTCTTGTCACGCGTCCCAGATAACCAGCCATCTCAGCCCCAGGCGTGCTGTCTAATGCCCCGCAAACCACCCCTGGGTCTGAACACTAACGCTTGCATCGCAAAACACAGCCGACGACCCCTGGCGCATCAACGCAAAATAGGTGCCCAACACAATCGAGCACAAACTGCTAAAGCAATAAAGGGTCGAAACAGCCGACCCCTGGCCATAGAGCATTAAGGTGCAACAGTCCGGACACCAACTGCCTGAATAGCACGAGTTGCCACAGCGACAAACACTGGCCTCGGCAGGTTTGCCAACCAGCGCGACCAAACTGGGCCTATGCATATGGTTTGCCAAACGAGCAGACAACACTGGCTAAGCATGGTTGCAAAGCCGACAAACGATCTGGCTTAGGATAGTTGCCGAATAGCGACAACACTGATAGCAATAGGTTTGCCAAAACCGACAACACTGCTAGCATAGGTTGCAGACGCAGGAAATTCGCTTAGGCTTACGTTCTGCCTTTTTCTCGCTGCCGGTCCGGCGCGATGTGCGCGCTGATCGTCGAGATTGGCGACCCGCGCAGGCGGCAGAGCAAGGCTGATGTCGTTCTTCATCACCTGCTTGTGGGCAGCGATGCCATTCACGGGCCGGATGCGACGCTGGAGTCCCTGTTCACGATCGCCCCATCTCACAATCGCGTAACTACAATTGAAAACGGAGAGCGATGTTTTTCCTCACAGTCGTGTAACTACAGTTCAACAGACAGAACACGGATGTTTCACCGGGAAAAAGATGCAAAACCCATCTTACAGTCGCGTAACTACAATTCAAAACGGAGAGCGAAGTTTTACCTCACAGTCGTGTAACTACAGTTCAACACACAGAACAACGTTTTACCGGGAAAAAGATGCAAAACCCATCTTACAGTCGCGTAACTACAATTC